TTTCCCTTCATATATAAACCTTTCCTTGACCCTCCACAACAACGAACTAATACTATATTTGTCCTTCTGTGATTGACTTATTTCACTCAGCATAATGTCCTCCAAGTTCATCCATATTATTGGTTGCTTTGCAGACTCTACATTATTCTTTAGTGCTGCATAGCATACCATTATGTGTATGTGCCATAGTTTGGTCATCCACTCTTCTGCTGATGGGCATGTAGGTTGTTTCCATCTCTTTGCTATTGTAAATAGTGCTGCTATGAACATGAGTGTGCACATATCTGGTTCTGTCTTGGCTCTCATCTCTCTAGGATATATACCTAGTAATGTGATTGCTGGGTCAAATGGTATCTCCAATTCCAGCTTTCTAAAGAATTGCCATATTGCTTTCCACAGTGGTTAACAGTACCACCAGCAACGTATGAGAGTCCCAATCTCTCCACATCCCTGCCAGCATTTGTTATTTTCTGTCTTGTTGAACCTTGCCATCAGTGCTGGGGTGAGACAGTATCTCATTGTTGTTTTGATTTGCATCTCTCTGATGGCCAATGATTGTGAACATCTCGTCATGTATTAGCTGGCCACCTGAATATCTTCCTTAGTGAAGTGTCTATTCATGCCTTCTGCCCATTTTTCAATTAGATTGTTAATTCCTTTGGTGTTGAGGCGTTGGAGTTTTCTATAAATCTTAGAGATAAGTCCTTTGCTAGATATGTAATTATAGGCATGTATGAATTTGTTGCAGTCATTTCTGTTATGTGCTTTTTTATGGTGTTGATTTCCTTGTTCCATATAATTTTCTATGCTGAGCTCATTTTGTTTATGAATTGTGTTATTACTTCCTTTGATGTTATTGTTTCGGTACTTGCTAAATATTTGGGCTGGTCCTCTTTTTTAATTTTGATGTGAAGGTTTATCATTTTTCTTTGAGGTTACCCTGTGATTTATAGCTTTCTTCCTAAGTTTGTAACAGTCCTTTCTATCTTGTAGTTGTCTTGACTTCCCTACCATCTAGAAGTTCTATAGTGATATAGTCTTTTCCCTCTTTTTGGTTTGTAGTTGTTCTCATTTGTCAAATGATGTCTCTGCTTTCTTGTTTAAAATCTTGTAGGCTTATTTACTTTGGATACTTCGACAGATGGGTTGGTTTCTGGGTTATATCACCATGTGTGTTGATGGTCAGTTTTTGTTGGCTGTTGCTGCTTCTCTGTCCAAAGGGCTCCCTTTAGTATCTCTTGTAAGGTTAGTCTGGTTTTAACAAATTCCCTCAATTTCTGCTTATCTGGAAATGTCTTAATTTCACCATCATATTTGAGGGACAGTTTTTCAGGGTACATAATTCTTGTCTGGAAATTTTTCTTTTTCAGGGTTTTATATATACCATCGCATTGCCTTCTCGCCTTCATGGTTTCTGCTCAGAAATCTGAACTTAGTCATATTGGTTGCCCCTTGTAGGTAACTTTTCATTTTTCCCATGCTGCTCTCATGATTCTTTCTTTGTCTTAGGTTTTGTTTTGGTGAGCTTGATGATGATATGTCTGGGTGATTTTCTTTTGGGATCTATCTTGTTTGGGATTTGTTGGACTTCCTGAATGGATATATTCTCATCTTTCATCATACCAGGAAAATTCTCTTCCAACAAATCTTCAACAATTTTCTGTGTGGTTTTGTCTCTTCGTGTTCTGGAAATCTGATTACATGTAGGTTATTCCTTTTGATGGTATTCCACATAAACCTTAGGCTTTCTTCATGTTGTTTTGATCTTTTTTCTGATTTATCCATTTCCAAAGAAATATTCAGGTATTTGCCTTCAATCTCCCTAATTTTGTCTTCCATTGGTACAGTTCTGCTCCTTTGCCCATTCAATGTCTTATCTATTCCTGAAAATTCAGTATTAATCTTCTGGATTTCTGTGTGTAGATTTTGTATCATATCTAATTTTTCATTTATTTTGTCATTTTGTTTTTGTATTGTCCTTTGAAATGGTTCTAGGATTTTCTCTGTTTTCCTTGATCTGTCTCTTAATTCATTGAAGATATCTAAATATAATTCTTTTGAATTCCTTATCAGGGAGTTCCAATGCTGTGCCTTCCTCAAGGATGTGTTTTGGGTCTGTATCCTGATCCCTTGTTTCTCCTGTTTTATCTTGCTTCTTTGTGTGGACTGTGATGCTCTGTTGTCTCTGAGGCATTGTGACGTTTTTGTGTTTATATTGTGTATATATTAGTAATTGTATGTTGGAGTGACTTGCCCATGATTTTTGTTTCCTTTATTTTGTTTGTATGTT